TCTTTTTCTTCAATAACATGTGATTCGCTTCAATGAGCACACAATTCAACATTGAAGCTAATATCTATGTTAATTTGTTATTTTTGTGTACATATATCTGTGCTGCAGATTTGTAATGATGTTTCATTTCATTCAAGTTTATTTCCTAAGAAAAACAAAGTACAAAATATATATGATATGTAATGAAGAAGAAACAATTAACGCGGAATCTCAAAAATGGAAATAAGGACTCCGCAGTTTAATTCCGATCGATATCTCTGAGATGAAAACAAAATATACGGAATCGATACAATGTTACAAGTTAGTTGAGAAAGAAAACGTAAAGGAAATAAATAGAATGTATTTTGATGAATCTCACTCTCCATCCTCGTAATGTCTTCACAGACGAATGGGCCTCTTACGATGACGATTTTTCCAACAGTATTTTTTTTTATTATTATCGTTTTTATTACATGACGTAGGTAATAAAGATCGCTTTCTTCTATGATGATTGATCCATCAATAAACTGTTATTATTATTTGCACCAACATAATACATACATTGGAGATTGATTATTCTTTCAAAAAAAAAAATAAAATCTCTTGTTACGAGATATAATTAACTTCAATAATTATTGAAATCTCCATGAAATTAGTCAAGATTTATAGAGAGAGAGATTAAGATCTATACCAATAGAGATGAAAGATAACAAATATGCATACAAATGCTTATATACATAATGTCTTTAATTACTTCACTAAATGGGATGAATCGTTTTATCATCATTATCCGTTACTGATATTTTAATGAAGCTCGCATTGGAAAATTACAATTCAGATATATATTTATAATATAATCCATGACAACAGATATATATTTTTCGCGTCATTCACACGTGTCGCGTATCATACATCTGACCTGATCAATAGTAGTTCATTGCATTCAAGCAGCTGACAATGCAAAAATCCATAAGTTTTAGCTTATTGTATTTGCTTTGCATATATTGTAACAATATACAAAAAGGTAATATAAGATAAAGAGTAATAAAGGAATACTTTTTCAAGTAGAAAATGCATGATTTAATCCGTTTTTTTCTTTAAACTATTCTTTTTAATTGTTAAGGATTAAATCTAATAAATAAATAATTAAAGAATTAAAAATAATTTTACACTATATTAAATTGTTTACATTTACACTTTATTAAATTTTTCAATTTTAGATGTAAATTATTTAATGATAATACTGCATTTGTATACGTAACGAGAAATATTCGTATATTATTTTACTACTAGCAAAAAAAAAACAAACTTGTTTCTTCATCAAGATAATGCTCATTAATTTCGTATTATGTAAATAAGCTGTATGTCCATTACATATGTCTCATTTATTAATTACTTTACATAAAAAGATCGTACTTTTCTATAAATATAAAATTTAATTATTCAGCAAGCTACATCGCAAATTATTATTTAAAGTACGGACCACTTGCTTTGTCTTGCCTTATAAAATAATAATCAACGAAATAACACAGTTCAAAAATTTTTATATAAATAATGTCTAATGTAAGCTTGTGGAATCGTACTATCCAGCCATTATGCTTCAGTGTATCTCGAATGCATTTGTATCGTGTTGACAATGTAAATTCTGTCTACACAAGTTTAATAAGGTCAGCCCTTCAACACACGTGTTTCATCACGATGTGCTTTCTCACACCATTAACAGTTACAATTACCAAACTTTCTGTAAACTTCAACTATTCTCGATAAGATCTAATGTTAATTTTACATTAAGCATAATAGATTCAGTTGAAAACAAGAATGCATATTAATCATAAATGACGTAAAGTATTGCGCAAAGAACGCCGAACATTTGTCACATAATCATAACTTTTTTCCTCTCACGAAAAAGCGTGGGGACAAATAAAACGGATTGAAAATTGATTGCGTTGGGGATATCTTTTACTTCCTGTTTTCTGATACATCATGCGAACCAAATATTTAAAATCTATAAACCTTATTGCAATATCGCTAAAATAGATATTGCTACTAAGTAAAGACTCTCTCCAATCGAAAATACGAGACTAATAAGTAGTAATAATTAAAAATAAATAAATTCGAAGTAACAATATTAAAATTGTTATATGTGGGAAAATCTAAAATGTTTGAAAAATGTCAACAAAAAAAAACAAGAAATTTAACTGAATTATAATATGAACAATAAAAAACAGGGAAGGAAGTCATGGAAATGATGTAAGCGGATCTACTCTAAAAAAATTAGAAAATAAGTAGACGTCGCCTAAAGAACTAGGTCACCTTAATTATTTGATTTAATGACTTTAAATGGCTTTCTTTTCATTTACATTTTGATAACTTAATTAAAAATATCTTATTTAATTAAGAAATTTATTAATATTATTATTTTTTAAATATACTATTTGCGACATAAGTCTAAATATTATGTTCTTACAAAACAAATTTTATTTTTGTAAAAACAGAATTATTTTCTGCCAAAAAAATATTATTTTGCAATATTAATTTGCTTATATGTCAATTCTGCACATGATAACTGTATCTCACTTTCACTGCATCTTTATTTTCTCTGTCTGTTATAATAAATCATAAAAAAATCGGAAAGAGAAGAAGTTATATTGCAAAATTGCATAATATCACAATTATGCACTATTACTCCTAACGATACTTGCACGAAATAATGGACAAGTAAATATAATATGATATAACAACATCATGATAAGAATAATTACGTATAAGCGCCACTTATCGTATAAAGATTTTCCTTCACATGGTAATTGAGCAGTTCAAAGTTCGAAACATAATTTGCAAAGGAAAATACGCAGATCGGAAAAATCCAGAAACCACAATAGACGTTTTCTTCCTCAATATCCAATTTTATTCAATATTTATTAAAATTTATTCAAGATATATAAATTTACAATTTACAATTTACAATTAAAAAACTTGTTATGCGTATGACTGTTGACTGAAATTTATAACAAGTCCATTATATTAATCGCTTCAGATACTTACTAAGAATTTATGTAAATTTTTTTAATTATAGTAATTAAATAATTTAATTGTTTATAAAGTCCCTTTTTTATGAGTCCGTTTTTTTCTTTGTGGGCAAAATGTAGAAAATTTCTTGTTTTATAAATTTAAACATATAATATGTTAATATTTTTAAAATTATTTTGATATATATATATATATAATAATTATTATATTAATTTATTTAATTATAAATATTTATTTAATTATAAAATTATAAGTAAATTATAAAATTTTTAATTATAATTAATTAATTCTTGAATTTTTAATTGTTACATGATTTTATATACATATTATGATAATATATATATTTTATATTTGTTATAATTGTTGTATAACTTCAAAGTATCAATTGTATCAGTTTTGACGAAACAAAAACATAAACTTTGACATTTAATCTCTGTTACAATTGATTCTGTGGTATAATAAAGAAAAATATAATCTGACATAACTACAGATCGTATTACACGCGAAATATTCTGTTATTTTGTTATAAATAATACAATTATTTTAGCGAATAATTTTCGGGGCACAAGAAAATGTGCCGATCCAGATTCATTAAATTTACACGAGTGAATAGTCGCACTCTATCGATACAACAGTTCTTTGTAAAAACGTAAAAAAGGATCGGTGACAACGCCGTAATTATAAATATAAGTAGAAATAATATTCTTATCATTATCCAGAATATATGTATCTGCTTTTAAATCAATTTAATAAATAATATGAGATCGTGATGTACGCAATATGCTAGTACGACAAATCAAATCGTTTTATTAAAATTAAAAAAAGCTTTTAATTACTAGATTTATGAATTTTTGCTGATCGGAAAATTATAATTACAATTCACTGTAATATTTCGTTCGCGTAAAGAACGATGATATTTCGCTCCATAAAAATGCACAAGCCATTAATGCGATGGAAAATGCACCGGTCATTCTGCGACACGCTTTAATAATAACATAGTTAAACAGAAGTTCAAAGTACCACATCGCGGTCTACGTTGGCAATTTCCGTTAAAAAAAGCAGCATTGCGTACTGTAATAAATACAGTAATTTAGTAAATTGAAATCGAATTTTATTAACAAAAATTCCTTTTACCGATGCGTTAATTCGTCAGATCTCTCTTAATGAAAGTAATTAATCTCGCTTTGATATTTTCGTATTATTCCGCGCTCAGTTATCGCTGATTCACGCACAAGAGATCTTTAATCTCACAAATATTAATTTTAATTAAATTAAATTAAATTTATCCAATTAAATCCGAATTAAATTTATCTAATCTGCCATTTCATTTCTGCTATCGAAAGTAAAATATATTTATGCGGCATGTATTCATTGTGCACTTAGTGCATATTTATAGCGTGCGAAAGCAGTGGAACTTTTTAGATATGCCAAATGTCTTTCATGCCTTTCCGACGTACGTTCCTGACCGTGACATTTGATTCGATACGTTATTAATCTTAACCATTTGACGTGACTTTAGACGTACATTTTCAAAATCATTACGATTAAAAACGCATTAAATTTATTAATGCCTGTGTTCAAGCAACTTAATTGTCTTATGACAGATCTACTATTTAAAAAACGTAAGAATAACACTGATGAGTCTACTTGTTACAAAGATGGAAGACAATTAAAGAGTAATAGTTCTCAGTATTGTTACTTAGAAATACATTTGTTACAGTCGCAGTCGTGATAGCGTTCTTCATTTGTTGGGCTCCATTTCATGTACAACGATTGATCGCCATATATGGAACTAATACAGAGGATCACATCACATCGAACGGCCCGTGGATGGAATTTATTTATCTTCTAATGACCTACGTGTCAGGTGTTTTCTATTACGTATCCACGACGATCAATCCGATCCTTTACAACATCATGTCGAACAAATTTCGCATGGCGTTTATGGTAAGCATAACAAAGATCTAATGTTCCGCAAAAAAATTAAAATTCAATTATAGTAAAACACTTTATTTAAATTGTACGTTTTTAAGCAGTTGTTTTTAAGCAGCATATTTTGAAAAATATATCTAAAAATACACGTTTGTTTGAAGCTTATCATGGAATAGAGTTTATCGTGGAACAGATATTGGTATATTGAAGGAACATATTATAGACATAATAATTTTTTAATAGACACAATAATTTAAAAAAAAATTTTAAACTTATATAGAGTGTTTCAGAAATAAATCTCTAAATTTTAAGAATATTTTTACTTATAAGAATAAAAATAAAATCTACGTATAAATGAGTCCAGAAACGCTTTTTTCCAAATTATAAATATTTTTTTATGTATGACAAACAATTGATTTCCTTTCGAATTAATATATATTTCGCATCGACATCTCACGTGGATTATTTTTCTATTTATCATTTTCTATTAAAAGCTCGCACATTCTCCCGATTTAAACCCCTTGGATTTTATTTATAGAGATAAGATTCTCATTTACTCCTGTTGCTATTATGGAAATACTCTGAAATTATATTACCACTTTATGTGATAATTTACAAAATACTTCGAGAATTTTTAAACATCTTTGACAATTCATAAAACATCGACGTAACACACGCATTGATGCGGAAGAAAAACAATTTTAGCAATTGAAAAGTTTGTTGTAAATAAAAAGTTTACATTTTGGAAAGGAAGTCTTTCCAAATTCACGTTTATATTTAATTTTTTTCATCCTTACAGTAAGTAGAATAAGCTTTTAAAGTTTGGTGGCCTATTTTTGAAACACTCTATATATCTTAATAAAATATTAGGTAACCTTCTCCTTTTTTTTACGCTCTTGTACATATACGTACATTGTTGTCCGTCCAGTGAAAGTACAATAAGACGTAGTGTACTCGTTAGAAATGAATCCAGTCTGCTCTATTCCAGGAAACATTAGCGAAGAGCTTCAGACTCTCTGGATTGCCAGCACGTAACGAGCAACGATCCTATTCCAGCCTGTCACGGTCCCAGCAAAGAACCATCGGGGGCTCCAGGATAGTGGGAACTGGTGGAGGATCCGGCATAATCGCCGACAGCATGGAAGGTTCGGGGAATTCCGCCTCGGTGGAAGAGGGCCAGAAGCAACCCATAAATAATCCCGAAAGTCCACCGGTGACCACCAGTGTTCTGGGCATACCTCGGACGAGCTCGGTGCGAAGTGGACACGCCAGAGAAACGAGGAACAACAACGACATCCTGTCGTCGAAAAAACACAGCCAGCGGTCGCTGATCAACGAGCATCGCAAGGATCGGTCGATTCGCAGAAATCAGGAGGCCTCGTGGATAAAGAGAACGAGATATAAGAACGTGTCCAATATCGATGATTCTGAGAAGAAATGGTGGAGATTCCTGAAGTGGTTGCCCGGCCTAAGAGTCCTCAGATTTCCCAGAGGTTCGACCGTGCCCGAGGATCGCGTGTTCGACGAAGCCGGGAATCCCCGCGAGGAACTGTCGATGACGATGTGGAACGTCCACGATAACAACGAGCAGCGACCTGTATAGAACATCCGTGGGTGTTTCCGCGATTCGAGATCTTCGAAAAGACTGATTTTTTTTCTTCAATCCTGTAATAACGATGATGCGCAAAGCCATTGTCACACTACGTATTACGCGATTCACGTCCGTAATACGTAGTGTGACAGCGGCTTAATATTATCCGATCCGTTATTATCCGATGATCTGATTGAGTAATGGCGTCGTATGATCTTTCGACCACGGCAGCGACCACGATCAGTAAGTTTGAAAAATAGAAAAGACTGATGTGTGACATTTGTAACTCCGACTCATGATTAATTTAAAATCATACTTAATGTGTGTCCGACAAATATAAGAGATAGAGATACCAACTAAAAAAAAACCCATAAAGTTAACCCTCTAATTTATATTTGTCAAACGAGTTTTGTGCAATTTTATATAATTATTCTGGATGCTGGCATCCGATGTTTTACAAAATCTAATAAATCCGTAGCATCGAAGAAGTAAACATGTCAGAAATATTGCGACCATTACGCGTGTATCGTAGTAACTCAATATATAAATCAAATAGCATAGTGCAATCCGATTCATATCTTTCTGAAATGCATTCAAGCACGCATCGATCATCAGAGAGAGATTTTTTTCCATCGAGAGAAATAAATTCAATTTATTGAAATTTTTTCGAATGATAAACACAAGTGCATGAATCATATTACGCGAGTTATGCTCTTTAATTTTGCAAATTCTTGTGTTTTTTTTTTATATTTAAGATGTATTATATATATTTAATTAATTATATATGTGTGCTGTTATTACAAACAAGATAATGTGGAACTTTATTTTGGAAAATGTTAGAAAATTGAGAACTCGAGATTTTAATATCATAACTTTTGACTTTAGTTCTAAATTTTTTCTCTTCGTCTACTCGTTTTTAAGTAAAAAAATAATAAAGTGCCAAAATTCTTAATATCGCAAATATCGTGTGTAGATAATTATTATCGAATATTGTATATAGCCGTTTTTAACAATTGAATTGATTGCGATTATTTAAAACATATACAATGCATAATATATAATATACGCTTAAAATAAGTATGAAGTCAAGTAGAAGCGATTATTTCGAATAACCCAGTTTTATGGACGTATCAAGCGTCTTAAAACACATCGCGTGTACACGATTTCGGCATCGCGTGCTATAAATTGCACAAGCTACAACGACATTAATTTCTAAATAAAAGTTAAGTCTCTTACCTGTAAATTCATTCCCTGTGGAAATATGGTATAAATAATTATTTCAACCGGCCTGATTGAATTGAGACAAACCGCATGTTGAATTTACTGCAGATTCAAATTTACGAATGTTACAGAGGCAGATATTATTGCAGAATGTAATATTGTAGAGTACAATTCAATGTAAGATACCAATGTGATTCTTCTCACATCGATTGGATTTTTATAATGTGATGTTATTTGTTATGCAAATAATACAATTATAAATTATTAATTGTAAAATTCTCCATTTATTTTTATTCGCATATCTTACTGGATGTCACTAAACGTATGTATCTCGATATTTTTAAGTATCGATGTTTTTGATAATTACAATTATAGACACCTGTAATGTGTCTGAAAATTTATATCGGATTCTTTATTTCTCTTCTCTCCCTGAACTGATCGTGAATTAGTTTCCTTTAAATGATAAAATTAATTAATTCTAAATTAAACTCCGATTTCTATTTTTTATTTACATAGCGCACTGTCTATAATTTCTCTAAATATTATGATCGTATATGTATTTTTGTATCGCATCCTTGAAAATTATTTCGGGGGTTTCAGCGAAGTCATAAAGGTAAAATTACCTTTCATATTTTGACAGTTGAGCAGAAATATGTTTGAGTTGGCAGCAAATAGTTTTCTAAAACCGTACATGGATAATTCCGTAGAAAATTCATTCTATGATGCATATCTAAATTATTTGGAATGATGTTTAAGAAATATATAACGTATTGCTATAATTTAATTGTTAAATAGTTAAAACATATTGCATAATGCACAATAAATATATGTGCAAGAAATCTGAAATTTGCATAATACAATTAATTTTATATTATTATAGAGTTTTCTTTTATACATTTATCCTTTTTGTATAAAATTGGCTGTGTTTCGTGTTACATTAGTAGTGTGTTATGCTATGGTAGTGTACATAACAAAAAATGCAGAAAAAAAATAGTTTGTTTTCTTGAAAAAATAAAATTAAAACATTTTATTTTCATCAATAAAGAAATATAGACACAGATTCAATTGTATATATTTGTTTACATGTATCAACTATACCTGTTTATATAACACAATGCCAGATCTATATAAAAATTTATAGTGTATAAGACAATATAATAGTGTTTATATAAAAATAAATATAAAGTAAAAAACACATATAAATAAAAAATAAACACATATAAATATATATATTTTTCTGTATTTAAATACAATAGGAAGAAATAATTAAACAAGTATTTTTGCCTAGGAATATTATGCAATATTGTGATTTTTACAAAACATACTTGAGATTCGCGCAATTAAAATTTAATAGAATTTAATAATGATCCTACAAATCTTATATGCTGATGTAATGTACTAAAAAATTTATCAATGAAAAATCAGTGGAAAAAGACTTTCTAATTATAAATATTTTAAATGCCAACAATTTTTACAATATAAAAATACTGAAAATAGAGATAGAAAATAGAGAAAATATAGATGGAAATATACAATAAATAATAATTTAAATAATAATACAATTAACTTATCGCGTACATCGATTTTCAATCATATATATTGTAACATATATGTTTTATATTTATTCGAAAACAAATATGAATCTGAAAGTAATTAAATTTGATTTAATAGTGGAAGTGGAATTAAATGCCTATCCCTCGAACGATGGAAAGGCAGTGTATAAAAATTACATCACAACAATTATATCTATCGTTATTTGCGTATAGCAAATCTTACAAGTCGAGTTACGATTTGCATATCGTAATTTGGTGTGGTGTACACAATTAAGTACTTTCGCATAAGCGGTGTACTAAATACATATAAATATTTAAATAATATGTTCTGCCATATTTATATATATCCAACATGAATTACATACATATACATATAATATTCCCTATAGTTTGACATTTTAAATAATAACAATCATGTACATCGATGTGATAAGCGTACGGCATGAGTGAACTTACAGATACAGGAATGTATATCGTATGAGAAACGTGGAGACGATTATTGTTCTTGACAGTCTGTTTTGCGAAGGGCCGTGAACTTCTTTACGGTATATTTTCGAGACAACCTTTGATGTGCTGCCAAGCTTGAAGACCCTATAACAACGAAAAATAATAATTATTACCAAGAAATATTGTAAAGCAAATCTATAAAATAATTTAATAAATAATTTAATTCTAATTTAATATATAATTTAATTTATATTATTTTTTTGTGTTTATTGTTTATTTAATTTGTATTATATTATATTATTTATATATTTAATTATATTATATTATATAATTTAATATTTAATTTAATATCGACCTTCCTAGCTAGTTTAAATTGTAGAACGCAATAAGCTGCCAAAGTCTCTTTGAGATCGATGACTTTTTGATGCTGAAACCTTTCGATATCCATCATGGCTTTAATAGAGAAAGACCTGTAAAACAATTTATTAATATTTACAAAATTATTAATATTTACAAATATTGATTGAGATAATATTTAGGAATATAGTTTTTACTTTAGATCTTCGTCCACTTGTTTTACAGTTTCATCATGCTGCGCGATTCGCTGCTCTAGCTGAAGAATTTTCAATTCGCGAACCTCCTCCGTGTCCACGGAACCGAATAAGCGTGACATTAAACCAGCCTTACCTTGAAAATGAAACTTGCTATTTCCGAGAATTTACATATAGATTAAACTCGAATATTGTACTCAAACATAGTTATTCCAATACCTTGCATGACTTTATCTTTTTGTTCAAACGTGGCAGTCAAGGCCTCGTGCGCCTCATCCTTAGCTAATTGCAAAGCTTCTCTACGTCTAACAACAGCCTGCAATGCCGACGCACCGAAAAGCCATTCTTTCAATTGATCAGCTATAAGCTCTTCCTCTTCAAGAGTGGTATCTATTGTCGCCGCTAACGAGTCCAAGTAATGCCCCGATTTCTAAGAAAAACAAACTGTAATGCGGTATTTTGCAAACTTAGACTGCGTTATTTTTCTTTCTATCAAACCGCGTTTTTACTTTCATGTTTTATGTTAATGCATAAAAGATAGATGTTTTTAACTAATAGATACTATCTAAATTTATTTTTTATAATAAGAAATACCTGCAATTCATCGCCCATTCCTTTCTCTATGGCACTCCATTCGCTAAAGACACGCCCGTAATTTGCGTGTAATTTATACAGACTATGTTGCTTCTCGACGAGTCGTGCGCGCACTCGTAGAAGATTACACAAATTATTCTGCAAGAAAAACATTGAAAAAGCGATAACACATCGTAATTAAACTATTATCTATATGAGCAAAACAATTCTCAAGTCAAAATAGCTATTTATCATTCGTTGTTAAAAAATCATGCAAATTTAAGTTACAATAAAATATATAGTATTCGAAGATATTATTCCAATTTGCATACCTGTAATTCAATTCCATAATTTTTTATAGTTTCAAACCGTTTATCCGGTTTTCTTAATCGTACCGCTACGCTAAGCGCTTTCAATTTCGACTCTGCTATCTGCAGATACCCTATGTGTGCAAGAAATAATAAACACAATTAAACAATACATTTTTTAAACCACTAATTCAATATTTAATAATTTTTTTGTTATCTGAAGAAAAAAAAATTACCTGTTTCCTTAACACTTTCTCTCCAACCGTCTTTCTGCTGAAGAAATCCCATGAAATGTTCATCGCGCGAAAGTATAGGATGTGAGGCAACTCTTACAAGAAAATTCTGTAAAAAATATTTTTGTAACTTTTTAGCAGCATGCAATATTTATCTTTCACACCGTTGCAATCACAAATCAGAAACGTACCTCGAGTCCAGCTCTTCTGCGATCAACGAAGTCGGGATCGAACGTATCAGTCGTAACTTTCTGCCAAGCGTAGAGAACCTTTTTTTCCGGTAACGGCGGTAACACGATGTAGGGATAAGAAATCTCTAGATAAGCGCGAAGCAATTCAAATTCGGTATATCGCCGCCATAACGAGCTTACTCTAGTTAGCGCGTTTTTAAAATCTGGGTCAGTGACTCTGTAAAAAAAAAGAAAAGAAAGAAGTCAAAGATCGGACAACAGTATTTCTTAAATAAAATTCGTATCAATTTGAAACAAACTTCACAATTCTTACTTTCACTTTTTTACTCACTTTGTTTCAATGAGGTATACCGTGTAGAATTCTCTTAGATTAAGCGCCCTATTTGCTCTCTTCTCAGCCTCCACTATTGAGATCTCCATGTGGTCGAGCAGGCAGTCCTGAAATATGTCACAATATAACACTTTATCTTCAATCATTCGCGCATATTTGAGAGACACTGTTTTTGTCATCCATCTGTGCCCTTATTCATCCGTACGGGACGTCACGGTTTTGACGAAGCATACGTTAGAACGCAACAGCTGTGCTCACAAACTCTCACTATACACAGCGCTATAGTGAGGGGATCGAGGGGAAAGTAGAATACGAGTCACTGACACCGATTGAGGGACGCTGCGCGGTGCTCCGACGATCGCTGCGCGACATACATTCGTCCGTTTGTGATTCAATTAAAATTAAATCAATTAACTAGCGTCACCGCGTCTGTCGAATCTAGCGAGCACTTGCTCGGGAAATTCCTCCCCGAAGTAGTCGGAGCGCACCGTAACTCCACGGGGACGTTACGTCCGAAAAGACGGACCGCGAGGATGAGAGAACGACGTATCGATTTGCCACAGACGAATGCGTGTGAAAAAAACAAGCCAAGGCCCTTTACCTCTTTCCGCGTCTCCATGTTGGCGGTCATGTTGGCGTTTGCCTCCCTCTGATAGTTGCCGTTCTGAAAGACCTCTTCCATGGTTTCACGTAACCGCGTTGCCTGCAACTACCTACGGACCCAGCCAGCGGGACTCCAATTTGACCTTTCGCATCACGTCGGGTCGCCCGACACCGACCTACTACCACCACTGTCGTATCGACACTGCCGCCTACCGTGTCGCAGGACCGTAAGGCGGGCTGTGTAACACGCTGCGCACAATCGCGGCAATCCAATCGAGAACCGGTTCCACACAAGGCGCGATATGTCACAGTACGGATTGTGACCAATTATGCACACCATAGGAATATAATCAAAATTAACATTTACAAATCGTAGAAAAGATAATCGATACGAAAAAACGCTCGAGGACATTTATCGTTATCCATACGTTTGGTCAATGAGAGTTCGAATGCAGTATTACGATATGCGGAATAAAGTGAAAAAGATCTTTGTACGTTGGCTACGCTGATGTTGATGTTTCTCTCTAGAAGAATCTTCGGCCGATCAGTCGCAGGTTCTCGTTGCGTCGCGTCGCGCGTTGCATATAGAAAGGATGGAGGAGGATAATAATAAAATACATAATTTCATTATACTTTTTATGTTGCAACAAAATTACATTTTTATTTGTTATTGTTATATTTATAATAAAAAAATTATGATAAATACAATTAGCAATTGAACGGAGAATTAACTGTTGATGATTGATGCTGCTTATATTTTTCTATTTTCTATCGAGGAACTTTTATCGATGAACAACTACTAGTACTTTTCACATTATACATTTTTTATGTTGCACATTGTGTACAGAAGAAATAAAGAAAAAAATATTAATAATGAAATAATTTCATTACATTCTCCGCATTGTATCAAAATAATATTTCTTTTTGTTTTCTATTGTACTTATAACAAAAGATTAGATTACAGACAAATGATTGGAATTATTGCAAAGAGAAAAAGTTTAAATTTTGAAGTATTTCAGTCCTGAAATATACTTAAAATACATTTTCTTTATTATATATTGTACACATTGTATGATCATACAGTTTTATTTATTGCATTATCTATATACATATGTATATAGATGCGAGCGAATTGGGTCATATATATTTACTAGATGAGCATGCATATTTACATAATGGGAGGAATTGCGCAAATATAAAATAATGATGACGATTATTAAAAATGCGTAAGGACGAAAAAGTATTTACACACTTCTTAAATTATGGAAAGAAAACGATGAAATAAACGTAAGATATATCTAAAAAAATGTGTCATATAATATCTTTCGGTTTGTCATCTCGTGTCTTTTTTCGAGGTAGAATAACAACCAAAAATGCGGATACTGCAAAATTTAAATTAGAAATGTTTAAAAGTTATTTTATATACATGTAAAAATTATACTGAACGTAGAAATCACTACTTAATCACAACTTAATGGGTGAATATTTTTCTTACCTAAAGAGGCAGAACCAATCATGACGAATGGTCCTAAGCATGATAAATTGAATAAAACGGGAAACAATAAGTTCCCGATTACTGCGCCAATTCTTCCCATCATCATCGTTATGCTAACTGCCATGGTTCTAAAACGAGAAAAAGAAGAACAGAAATTAAACAGTACATAATAAAATAATAAGATAATGTAATATATACTTATCTATTTAATATTTTATATTATTAATATTTATTAATAATATAATTAATAATAAAGTTTCCATACCTTAGGCATGTAGGAAAGTTATCGACGATAATATTGATAACAGTTGCTCCGCCTATACTCGACATGGCAACAAATACTGAAGACAATCCGAGAATACCATTGGTATTTTCAGCCCAGTATAACGAACCACAACATGCAGCAGCGACAATAAAACAAATTGCTGCAAGAATGAAATAGTTATACAATTATTATTATAATGATGTATTTTTTATATATAAATAATTATTTATTATAATACAAGAATCATATTGGATATATTCTTTATTTTATAATAAAATTAAATTAATTTAATTAATTAAATTATATTAATTATAAATAATTATAAATAAAATTACTATTTTTCACTATATTATTTTATACATATCTTACCCATTAACTTCTTTTTTCCAACCACGGTAATCAAAGTACCAGCTAAAGTATATCCAATAACACCTGTCATGGCAATGACAATGGAATTGATGAAGACTCTAGAATTCAATTCCGCCTAAAATTGACATATATATTATTCTCATTTTTCCCATCTAAATTTAATTTTTATTTTTGATTTATTAATTATAGCGACTCACTGGAACGCATGTTACGGTAGAATTGCTCGTCTTGTTGGCGTATTGCGTGGAATTGAGATAGGATTGTTCTTGACCTAACATATAACAAAATGAAGGTTGCAGACCCGACACGCGAGTGTCGGCCGCCATAATAGTACTCTTGTAACTTTCAATCATTGCAAATAGCTGCGGCATCCAAAGACGAAGTGAGTTTGACCTGCACAGTTGTAATCAGTGTTAATTGAACTCTCATAAATTTCGTTTATTTGATAACTTTATTTTTTTAGAATTAAAATTAAACGGGACAAAAGATGATTGAACTGACCCTATCGTTGCTCCAAGTTGTATCATTGATATAAGTATTAACTTAAAGATATTAGGTCGCAAGAAAAGTGGTTTCATTTGCTTCCAACAGGTATGCAGCTTATCCTGCATACGTTCCCCGGTTGATTCGACGGAATATTCGTCTCCCAAACTCTTTATCTGTCAAACAAAACAATATTGTTAACAAACTATTATCGCAAATTATTATCGCATTACCGATTTCTTTTTTAATTCTGTAGTTGTTTGATTTCTCCAATTTTATTTTTTATAATTTTATTTTTTTATAATTTTGTCGCATTGTATATATTCTTTTTAAGTTTCTTCACAATCTTGGCTTTTTTTTATATTTTGACTGATATGTCTATTTTGCATTTTACTTACTGTGTTATTTCATGTTGTTTATTTGACATTTCAAATTTTTTGAATATATAGGATGTCCCATTTTAATATTTCTTGAACAATTTAAAAAAATATTTTATATAAAAGTAAGACACTCTATATATACCTTTTACACTCATCTATTTTTCACTTTATATTCATCTAACTTAGTGATAACAAGTTTATATAGCAAGTTTATAATAGCAACGCAATAAGATATTAAGTTATGATAATAAGTGCTGTGATATGACATTTTGTAATCATGCAGTATGTGTATTTCAACAACATTGTCAAAATGACTCAATGAGAGTCGCGAATAATATTTACGTAACTCAATTGTTGACTTAAAACTGTTTGCATCAACGGACAGTTCGATGAAGAAACATAATTTCATGACAATTTTATTTTTTATTGGCAATATAATTAAAATTCAAATTATTTTAAACCAACATATCTTATTATTTACTACCGGATATGTTTCAGGATCCTTCCCAGTATTGAGTGAGTAGATTTTCTTGAAGACACACAGTGCCTCATCGTGTCGACCCTTCAGGATGAGAAAACGCGGACTTTCTGGGAAAGCGAAAAGAGCGGCGCATGCTAAAAACTCCGGAAGCGAACAAATCGCTAAGAAAACCCTCCAGGAGTTAATCTCTATTGTATCGCTTAAGAATGTAACGTACCACTTTTGAGGTATCACGAGCCAAGCTATACCTGTGAATTAAAAAAAGAAAAATCAGTAAATTATTCAAGTTTAATATAAAACGTAAGCAATTAAAAAAAAAATCAATAAAATATCAAATAAAATATTGTGTGCCTTCTATTTACTCTTTTATTATAAATCTAAAAATTAATTTTCATCTTTTTCATATTTCATATAAATTTTCATATAAATTCCATAATGTTAGCATCGTGTATATTGTAGTATTGCACGCACCATCGGTTTAAAACGCGACGTCTCATAATTTAACCTGTGGCGATTTTTAGATAAGTTATGTCAAGGCTACACTTACATGGCAGGGAAATATTTCCAAGCGAAAAGAATACGCCAAGCCACATATACGACCTCGATCGATGTATTTCATTATGTATCTCTGCCAAGTACGACATAAGTGCTGCATACGGACCTGATATTCTGCAATTTGTTGATTTTAATATTAATTGTTATAAAATAACAATAAACAGCTGAAATAAATCATTATTACAGGATTTTAAGTACTAAATGTCTATATGAAATAAATTCAAATAATTATACCAATCATTACACCAACCACGTGCCACTATTTTCAGCGGACTTACAATGTAGCGGTTTTATAACAATTCGATAATCAAATTTTAAATATCGATTAAAATCCTCGATTATTCGTCTCAACGAGAAATACACATAAAGTATTAATGACACTAAAAATATCCAATTTTTTTTTTTAATACACATATGATGTATGATGATGTGATATAACATTACGATTTAACATTAATTTAATATTACGATTTGTAATGATCATTACATATATGTAATGATAAATCGTAATGTTATATCACATCATACATATATGTAATGATAAATCGTAATGTTATATCACATCGACTGGTAATTTCAACTTACATCATACCATCGAAAAATTTGAATGTTATTAACAGCCAAGATCTATGCGAGAAACATGTCGCTATACTTAGTAGACCGGTAAGCAGGTAACCATAGAACATTATTTTCTTACGTCCAAACATGTCGGTCATACAACCCCAGAAAAACACTGTAGAGATCATTCCTGCAAACAAATCGATCAGTTAATTGATTCTGCCTTCGCAGCAACTGGATTTTCCGCCAATTACATATTGAGATAAAAAAAGTTGTGAGAAATATGCAGAAAACGTTTGCATTTAAAAGTAATATTTTTACTTTTTATGTTTTTATGTTTTATGCAGCATGCCATGAATTTATAAAATTAATGATTATTTGATAGGCACACGCCCAGGGGCCTCCTAGCTATAAAAAACTGAAGATTTCGACTGACATTATTGAAGATAAAAATACTTTCTGTTTTCGACTGATATTATTGAAGATAAAAATATTTTTTGTTTAGCAAGAAATTAATTCTAATTGGAATCGTGAAACTGAGATGGAAATTTACATAATGCAAATACAACAGTTTCTTTCCTGAGTGGCCTTTTATCATCTCTGAGCATAATGTTAAATTTATATTTAAATTACTTTATATATTATTTTTTAGTAAAACTTAAAAATACCAAGAAATTTAAATATTCTGTTTTTTTCTATTGATCCGTGATGCATTTTTTTCACAGAACATCAAGTTTATTTATAAATTTTATTATTGCATATAATTTTTTAGGCATTAAAAAGTAATTCACTTTATTAAGAATAATTCACAAATATTATTATGTATCTAATTACTTTTATGTTATATTATTATTTTCGAATTGACAGATCGCACGGAAGGATTGCAAATTATTGGTTCATTCATGTTGATTCAAAGTTTTCTCAATGTCATTGTCATATTGCAAGGAGAGCCCCATGATGGCTGTACCTTGGGGCTAAAAACCCATTAATCCGTTACTAGTTGTTAGACATCAGATCGAAAGCGATCGTTGATAGCTGGTTGAAAAAATAATCGATCGATCGATTTGGAATTTGCAAATAATAAAATGATACGGTATTTACCGTGAATTCGCGTTTGCCCTCACTATTGTCTACAACAAATCGACAGTGTACATCGCACGATAATCATAGAGACTCTTAGTGTGCCAAATCTCCAGGGCTCTCATCGAGCTCTTTGGCACCTGTAATAAAGCGTTGTTATGCAATTGTTAAGCGAATCGAGATACTACCTGCAAATGCCATCGAGTTTAGTAGGCCTTTGTCGAACATTGTTAGCTGGAGGTCACATTCGGCGGATGGTAGCACGTAAGACATCGCTGATGACGAGAAAATACTGGAGAAGCTGGCCGGCAGTACTGCCAGCAGCAGCAAATAATTAAATTTTCCATATCCTGGCAAAAACATTTTAATGTATGCATAAAATTAATAATGTAAAATTTTTAATGCATCAAATATTACAATTAATATATATCTAAGATCATCAACAACTTTATCGTATTGTATTATTGATACATATCATCATCAGATTCAACAATATTTAAGCAATTATATGTATTAATAAAAATTCAGCCATGAATTTTGTATTAATTATTATAAATTTTAATTTATTATAAATTCTTAAAGTTTCATTTAAATTAGATACATATTGTTCCAATTTAAAAATCATTTTTCAAGAATAAAATACAGTAGTAAGAATTATTAAATAAATAATATTGTACAGCAATAAAGTGCTTGTTAAATGAATGATGTTGTATAATATTATTAAGATTTGTTGTAAATGTATATAATGCAAGCTTTATTTACCAGTTGCTATTATTGCCTGTTCGAAGTCCGCTGGACCAGAATCATCAAAGTTTGTTTCCTCACCTAAAGCGGAAACAGCGATTAAGTATGATAAATCTTGACGACAGGATTGCTTCGGATTTAACTAATATAGATAAAACTAAATTAACACCTGACATATGACGTCTGTATCTAAACGACCTATACATTGTAAGTAAATTAACTAGTCGTCTAAAAATCATTTTTCTTGCCACTTATCATCAAACACAATCACATTAGCAACTGTAATCGCGCATGTACGCTCGACGTCTGCCCTATCACTGATAAATATCCATCCGAACTTATTGTGAAAAACTGTCAATATTATCACGACTTGAATCGCTGCTAATGTTACATTCAAAACAGAATTTATTATTTTCATCCATTAATATTATTCGAAGCCGTATACGATAACTCATTATTATAACTCGTTTACTTAAGGATGTATCGTACTTATCTTTATAATTTTTATATTTACAATGGAAAAATTATAAGAAAGCTTATAGATTATTCTAAATCGTTTTAAAAATAATAAAAAGTTTAATAATGGTTTAAAACCTAAATAAAAAATTACTTAGAAAATAAATAAAAGTGCGTTCTAATAAAAATTAAGAAATTAAGTAATTAAGAAAGTAAATAATTAAAAAATAATCTTAAGAAAAATCTCAATTTTTTTTTATAAGTTCTTTTATAAGTTCTTAACTAATCAAAAATTATTTATGTAAAGTTTTATTGCGATGCACAAATTAATTCTGTAAATAAAAATTTAATTTTATTTATACACCTCGTTTTGTTTGTATTCTTAATAAAAATTTAATTTTTATTTACAGAACAATTAATCTCTGTATCGCAATGAAATTTTACAATGATCTTAAATGATCTTAAACATT